AGGGATCCCCTGGGTCAGATGTTGCAGTGTTTTCCCCAGGAATTGAAATGGGGGGAGGAGAGGGGTCTGAATTTATGGCGGGGTGGTGGTAAGGGCCAATGAGGGGTGAGACCTAGAGGGTGAAGGTGGGCTGTATGGCACCATAGTAAAACCTGAAAAATGTTTCATGACTATTTTATTAGATTTAACTCATGTTTTAAAATCATCACACAAATTAAAGTTGGCTACTCAAGCCTTCTATGAAGCACTACATCTATATCCTTCTTGGTTTCTTGTTATAATTTTCATAGAATCATAGAAGCATAGACTATCAGAGTTGGAAGGGACCTCTGGAGGTCATCTAGTCCAACCCCCTGCCCAGAGCAGGACCAATCCCAACTAAATCATCCCAGCCAGGGCTTTGTCAAGCCTGACCTTAAAAACTTCTAAGGAAGGGGATTCTACCACCTCCCTAGGTAACGCATTCCAGTGTTTCACCACCCTCCTAGTGAAAAAGTTTTTCCTAATATCCAACCTAAATCTCCCCCACTGCAACTTGAGACCGTTACTCCTTGTCCTGTCATCTGCTATCACTCAGTATAGTCTAGATCCATCCTCTTTGGATCCACCTTTCAGGTAGTTAAAAGCAGCTATCAAATTCCCCCTCATTCTTCTCTTCTGCAGACTAAACAATCCCAGTTCCCTCAGCCTCTCCTCATAACTCATGTGTTCCAGACCCCAATCATTTTTTTTGCCCTTCGCTGGACTCTTTCCAATTTCTCCACATCCTTCTTGTAGTGTGGGGCCCAAAACTGGACACAGTACTCCAGATGAGGCCTCACCAATGTTGAATAGAGGGGAACGATCACGTCCATCGATCTGCTGGCAATGCCCCTACTTATACACCCCAAAATGCCATTGGCCTTCTTGGCAACAAGGGCACACTGTTGACTCATATCCAGCTTCTCGTCCATTGTCACCCATAGGTCCTTCTCTGCAGAACTGCTGCCGAGCCATTCAGTCCCTAGTCTGTAGCGGTGCATTGGATTTTTCAGTCCTAAGTGCAGGACTCTGCACTTGTCCTTGTTGAACCTCATCCGATTTCTTTTGGTCCAATCCCCCAATTTGTCTAAGTCCCTCTGTATCCTATCCCTACCCTCCAGCGTATCTACTACTCCTCCCAGTTTAGTGTCATCTGCAAACTTGCTGAAGGTGCAATCCACACCATCCTCCAGATCATTAATGAAGATATTGAACAAAACCGGCCCCAGGACCGACCCTTGGGGCACTCCGCTAGATACCGGCTGCCAACTAGACATGGAGCCATTAATCACTACCCATTGGGCCCTACAATCTAGCCAACTTTCTACCCACCTTGTGGTGCATCCATCCAGCCCATACTTCTTTAACTTGCTGGCAAGAATACTGTGGGAGACCGTGTCAAAAGCTTTGCTAAAATCGAGGAATAACACATCCACTGCTTTCCCTTCATCCACAGAACCAGTTATCTCATCATAGAAAGCAATTAGATTAGTCAGGCATGACTTTCCCTTGGTGAATCCCTATAGGAAAAGTAATCCACGAGCCTCACTACTTAGATTCATCCCATCTTCGTAGATACTTTCCAAAGCCAGTAATAATGGCTGGAGTAATTTTAAGACAACAGCCAAGGATCACTCTTGAGAAAGCCAGAGGGTTTTCCCAGGTTGGACTAATTTGAACTTCAGTCCCACTGTATCTTCTATATTTTCCAAGATAGTCAGTCTTTTTGGACTCTTGCTGAAAAAAGAATATAATGAGCACATTAAATGTATAGCTTTTTAAAAAATGTCTTTTGAAGAGTCTGCAGCTCGTACTAGCGCTAGTTGGAGTAGATGGCTTCTGCAATGTGTATAGGAGAGGTGAGGGTTAAACTTTTCTCTGAGCAAAGTTTGTGCTCCACCATGTCTTCCAGAGAAGTTTGCAGCTCCATCAAATGCACAAGCTGCCATCTGTTTGGGGTCCAATTGACAAGCATTTAACTCGTCTAAGATGTGGGTTGTCACAGATTTAGCTGATGTGTCTTCTATTACTTGAACATCTAGAAATGCATCTACTGGCCTACCACTGACCTCAAGATAACGTACACAATGACTTAATACTTGATGCCCATTTGCACTGGTGCATTCATCAGCCATGTATGCAAATTTTTTGAATGTAGTGAGAGAGTTCTTCACTTTTCGACTGTTGAATCTTTCACTGTTGCACCACGTGCTTCTAGCCAGTCAGTTGAGTTTCTTGCAGAAAGACAGTGAGCATTTGCTGGTCTTGTTTGGAACCAGTGTTCAACTTCAGGATGAACAAGTGACCATGCACTTAACACTGGCCTCCAGTTTGTAGTGTGTGGTATCTCTTGCTTAAATAGAAAGTATGATGCCACGGCCATGTATGTTCGCATGAACTGTGTTGTGTCTCCAGTATTCTTAACAGCCCCATTAACACTCACCAGTGTTGTCCTGGGTCAGTGGAGACTCAGAGGTGCTTTTGCATGAGTTCACCTCCCAGGTGGGGGGCAAAAAGGCACCTTGCTCGTTCCTCCAGCTGCTCACTATTCGCTCTGGCCACTGCTGTTCGTTGTGCCACCGTTCACTCCATCGCTCTGTTGCCAATGGCCCTGCGCCGTCACCTTCGGCTGCCACCTGCCACTGTGACCTCTGCGAGTTGGTCTGTTGAGATTCCACCAGTGGGGGAACTTCGCTGCTAGTGCAGACTGGGCCGTCTCTTCCACAGAAACACTGTCCCACAGCAGGTCTAAGCACTTAGACCTGCTTATCGGTGATTTCAGCTGTAATGGTCACCTAACAAACCAAAAGACTATCTATGGCAGGGGTGGGCAAACTTTTTGGCCTGAGGGCCACATATGGGTATGGAAATTGTATGGTGGGCCATGAATGCTTACAAAATTGAGGGTTGGGGTGCAGGAGGGAGTGAGGGCTCTGGCTGGGAGTACGGGCTCTGGGGTGGGACCAGAAATTAGGAGTTCAGGGTGCGGGAGGCGGGGTCTGGGCTGGGGTAGGGGGTTGTGGTGCAGGTGAGAGGTAAGGGCTCTGGGGTGCAGGAGGGTGGGACCGAGGGGTTCAGAGGGCGGGAGGGGGAATCAGGGCTGGGGCAGGAGGTTGGGGTGCTGGAGGGGGTCAGGGGTGCAGGCTCTGGGTGGCACTTACCTCAAGCAGCTCCTGGAAGCAGTGGCATGTCCCCCCCTCCGGCTCTTATGCAGAGGCATAGCCAGGGGGCTCTGCACACTGCCCCACCTGCAGGCACCACCCCTGCACCTCCGATTGGCCCTGTTTTCTGGTCAGTGGGAGCTCTGGGGGAAGCACTTGTGGTGGGGGGCAGTGTGCAGAGCACCCTGGCTGTCCCTACACGTAGGAGGTGGACGGGGGACATACCGCTGCTTCTGGAAGCTGTACGGAGCAAGCCCCCAACCCCACTCCCCAACAGGAGCTCGAGGGCTGGATTAAAATGTTTGAAGGGCTAGTTTGCCCGCCCCTTATCTATGGAGCCTAATCAGCTGTCTTTAAACAGTGGCGAGGGGCAGGTCAAATAGTATGTGTCTCAGGCAGACCATCGAGCAAAACACCTGTCCCCACCCTCTCTCTTGATGCCCTCAATCAGCACAGGCTAAGTACAGTTCTATTGCCCTTTACTCCTGCAGTAAGAATAACAGCATTTCATTACGCCCCTCCCCCACGCCCCTGCATTCAAGTGATTTGTAACCCAACCCCAGCCAAAATCTATCACTTGGGCAACACAGCTCTGTTTGCTGGATACCTAGGTAGATTAGGTGTGAATGTAAATACAATTTGGTCCTGAAACCTTTCTCCCCAGCCCCCAGCTCATCACTAGCTGTCATTTAGACTTTGCTTAGGTATCATCATTTGAAATTATTAGGTTGGCCAACATCAGTGAAATGAATGCACTGACATTGTCATAAAAAAACAACAACTGTATAAGGAAGCTAGTCTATGTTCATACTTTTCAAATCTGTTATACTTTTTTCAGATTTTATTATACACTTTATATGCGTTTAAAGTGTGTGTTAATGTTTCAATTCCAGTTCAGATTTCCAAATAATCACTAAATTGGCAACACTGCATGTAACTAGTTCACAAAACTGTGTGTGTGGGGGCGGGGGGTGTAGGGGAATTTCAGGGGAGTGTAAGGAAATCCCTGGATATCTGCATGATGGTTCACCAAAGGATGGCATGTGAGGTCTCTACCAAGAGCCAGTAGCTCACTGGTCATCATAATCACTGCAGGCCCAGCTCAGTGAGTTCTGGGCACAGCAACAGTCTCTGTCCCTCTGTCCGGTGAAGCCCCCAACAGCCTTTGAGGCTCCCTGCTTGGTCAAAGTCCCAGAAGGTTCTCAGCAGCAGCTTCTTGCTTCCTACAAGGAGTTGAGCAGCATCTCCTTATAAGTACGGAGTTCCAGCAAGCAATCTCAGCTCCTCTCCAAAAACAGAGCCCACAGCATGCTCTCCTTGCATTCCCTCGAAGAGGAAGTCTCTCTCTCTCTCTCTCTCTCTCTCTCTCTCTCTCTCTCTTCCCCAAGGCATCATGGGAGTTGTAGTCAGGGTCTTCCCAACTGGAACACACCCCATTCAGTTCAGAGGCCCCTCTTGTAAACGGTGCCTACAATCGCGATAGGCTCTGAGTGCTCAGGATACTTTCCTGAAGACATTGCAATATCTATTTCGGGGCCTAACCTTAGACACCTAGGTGTGAAAATGTTGGCCCAGATGTCATATGTGTGAGGAAATGGGGAAGGTTTCTGAAGAAGCCACAATACTATTGCTGTGTTTTCACCATAAAACCCTTTCCTCCATTGTTTTAGTGGTGATTCTCAAATCAAGGTGAGTTTAAAAGTAAAGGGGAAATTCCCTTCAAGATGATGACCTATTGTTATGGCAGGGGGGAAATGAACAAACTGTTGTTCTGGAATACCTGGACTTGCACTTATGCCTTAACGACTGCCACTTCAGATGTCCTTGTTTGCCCACTCCGGCCGGTGGAGCGTTTCCGTGATCTGCGACCTGAAGAAGTGGTTGATTTATTTCAAACGACACAAATTGTTGGAAATGTGGTGGAGAAACATTTCTGTGGCACTTCACTCACCATTTCGATTCAGGTTTGTAAACTGATTGGCTCCAAAGGCTTTGTTTCCTGTTCGTGTTTTATCAAGCTTTTTCCCCTGTCCCATAACCCGCTGACAAGAGGACATTCAAACCATAGGAGCAGTAAATACTTAACAAATATAAGGAAGTAAAGTTTTGCTTTACTCAGCATAGCGTAACCTGTGGTGTTCACGGCTGAAGGAGGTTAACAATCAAATACCATGTCTGGATTCAAAGAAGAGTCTGGATAATTAATGGCAGCTAAAATGGTGCCTTTCCCTGCGAACACCACCAGGTGTCGTGCTTACTACTATGAGAAGATCCATTGGTTTCCAGTAAGTACTAATCCTAGTAGAAAGTGTTTGCAGGGCACCGCTCTCAATGAGGGTATTCACAGCCCATGATTCGAGGAGTAAACTCATTGCCCGCAGGCCAGAATTTCTCCCCACAGACAAGGCGTTGGCTAGGTTCATTATATAGGTTTATTACCTGAAGTATTCTTTGAGGTGGCATACTGAACTAGATTGATCCAGTGGTCTTATACAAAATAACAAATCCTTTTGTTTAAACCAAGTCTGGAGGTTAACCCCTTTTTTGACATAAGAATTTAAATAAAGAGGCTGTGATTTAAAGCAGCGCTTACAGTTCTGTATTTTATGTCCATGAATAACAGAAACGTTATTGCTAGCAATTAAAAACTTGGATCTGAGATCATGAAAAATGACAATTGTGCCAGTATTTATTTCCTTTTCACATATTATTTCTCCCTTAATCATGACCTGAAATGTAAAAGCATCTGGTCCCACATGCTTTGCGCTGAATAGGACCCAGGAGAATACTATAAATTAACACACAATGAAATTGGATTTAAATTATTAATGGATAATATTTCTGAATCCCCAGGAGATCCTTGTTAGCGCCACTTTTCTGATTCTTCTATTTTTTGCTTACAGGATGGTCCTGAAGCTGGGCAAACTGTGAAGGTGAGTGCTTATGCTTATTATGCAGGATACAAATTAACAAGAGACAATTATGAGAACTAATAAAAGATCAAAACTAGTCATCTGCAGAACATTGCTGTATCGTTTTGTTATCCTTGAGGTTAGAGAAATTCTGGGTCTGTTATGCCTGTCAATACTTGGATTGAGTTTGCATGGAACTGTGTTTACATTTCTCTTCTTTACTAGGCAAAAGTTTTCAGCTGTGAAAATACCATCTCTGTCCTTCTTACAGAGAGAGGCTCTCAGATCATGATTGGCTGTACCTTGTTTATTTCACATGCATAGTAAGCTATAGGGGGAAAGCAACTTTTGTTGTTGTTTAGACAGTGAAAATATTGCCTTTTCCTTCATAATTTCTTTGCCTTTCCTATTTATTACTGAATGAATTGAGGCTGATGAAAGGAACAGTTAAACTGAACTACATTAGAAAAGCATACTTCTTTTTATCCATGCTTTCTTTCTCCACGTTCTCATCACATTCTTGTTAGCAAAGTTTAAATCTAAAGGAGCCAATGAAGCTTAAAAATAGTTTTTAAGCCATGCTAGTGCAAAAAAAAAAAATCTATTATATTCTCCATTCAAGTAATAAAATAGATAAAATCCAAGATGGTTCTCTGGCCATGTTTCACTCCCCCATCATGCAAATGCAAACACAGATGTAGTTAGATTATCTGCCTGAGCATTAAATAAGGGCTATTTTTTATACTTGGAATCAAAGGAAAATCAAAATATGGTTATGGTTGAGCACTCTGTAAAATCAGATTATATGTCTTGAAGAAGCTGTTTAGGTTGATTAAGATAACTCCGACAACCAAATGATGGCAAACAGAAACAATTCACTTAATTCCAATCTGGCTTGTTGACCTTACCATTGATATTGCTTTTATTGCTTGCTGTGAATATCTAACCGAGAGCAGGGGAGTGGAAGAAGAAAATCTCCAGACTGCTGGGAAGCTTACGGGATGCATAGCACTGAAACACAATTTACTGCAGTGCTGCAACAAAACAGATTCTGTCGCTCCAGAGCTAGGCTGCTGGATTGCACTGGGAACGGGATGTTGATGGGTGAAAATGATTATTTTCAACCTAGTTTTCTTTAAAAAAAAATGAAGGCTTTGACATTAAAACCCAACATGATTTTGGAAGCAAGACACAATATTTCTTTCTGTTACCAAGATCATATTATCTTTCCCATGAGAGGCTCCCAAGAAGCTGCTATTTTAAAAAGTGAAAAAAACATTAGTGCTAATGATCAAAATTAGAAGTGAAAAATGTGATTGAGGACAGTGACTAGTATATGTTTAGGCTTTAAAAGATGCAAGAGAAAAGGCAGGTAAATATTCCTCATTTTCTGTTTTTACAAAGCGTACTGTGCATGTGTCCAGCCAACGAATTGTGAAAATATGTGGGCACATGGAATGCCCCTGTCCCACCCGTCTAACAAGTGTAATGAGAGGGTAATGACCCCCTGCCCAGCCCCTGGACTCAAAGAGTGTGTGTTTTGAGAAATAGGAAGTTAGCAGGTTGCATTTTTGCACTTTTCTGCATCATTGGACAAAGCTATAGTTTATTGCCATCGTTCTGATGATATCTCTCACCTGAAAATGCAAACAATGATTGTGCTCAGAGACTTAGGAACCTTCGGAACTGACCTCAGATTACTGTGATCTGAATCTTGTTTAAGGAAAATAGTGAAGTGGGGATGGGTAATTTAATAGCTATGTTCCTCCCAGGTGGCTGGGGATCATGAAGTCTGAAGTCACTTACTTGATACATGAATAATTTACACATCTTACATCAAATATGTAGTGTGTTGGTTATTTATATATAAGAGATGCACAGTTATATATTCCCATACAGAAAATGTTATTAACTCACCTCCAGGATGTCAAATTCATTCTGTGGAAGGGACTGCATTTCATTGTTAATTAGGGACAGTGGACAAGAGCATATATTTAGCATTATCCTCCCTCAACAGACATCTGCTGCTCAGGTCAGTAAGGCTATGTCTGTGCTGCAGAGTCAACTTGGGTCTGAGCAGCCAGATTACCCTTCCCCAGTGTGAGCAGCCATGCTGCAAACAAAGCCCTACTTTACCGGGTGTGTCCCCCAGTGCTGCCATCTGGGGCCAATCCGCTGGCTCTTAGTGCAGCAATAAGCTACACCGTCCTCTGATTCTTTCCTCGGGAATTGTGGGAGAACTTGTCTGCCTTTCTGGGCACATGGGGGGAATTGTGGGAAAGCACTGGAGGACTAGCTGCACTCACTTGGTTTGCCCTGCATCCCTGCTGCAAAGTGTATGGGGGAGAGAAGTTGTCAGCCCATGTGAAAGCAGCACTTGGGCATCACCCTGTAACCCCGGGCAAGCCAGCTAACCTGGGTTGAAAACACCACCAAACTTGGGCAGGTGTTTTTTGTGTTAGGAGAACACCTGGGTAACAGCTAGGGCTAACTTTGCAGGGAAGGCATACCCTAAGAGGCTCGCAAAAGATCTAGTGGGCTGGATTTCCAGAATAATTCCTCACAACAGCACTAACACTAAAAAAAGCACAGCCACCAGAAGTCCTATAATAACGTTTCTACCCGGTACAGTACCAGCCGGCTATAATCATGATGCTCATCCCCACCATCACACTAAGGCTCCAAACCTGCAAACACTCAAACTACTCACAGACCTAAAATTAAATATCTGCACAAATGTTTGCCAGATCGGGGCCTATAGCCTACCTACTTTTAACAACATTGTCACCCGCAATGAACACTTGAGAAGACTGCAAGTTTGCAGTTCAATCAGATTAAACAGTAGCCTATGTTGTAGAGTTTGCTTCAGTGCATGAGTGAGTCAGTCTGAAAAATTAGCAATTTGTTTGCTACTGAGGTCTGCAAAAGAAGGTAAGAAACAGCAAGAATCTTTTTTATCAGGGGGCTGTTTTAAAATGCTTACAACTCATAAACTAATGAGCCGAGTTATGTAAATTCTTTCTTGTACAAGAGGATGTACTATAATTTTGGAGAAGCTAGGCTGTCTTTTTCGTGCATAAGAAAGAAGTCAAATCCTATTTTAAGTATAAATCACAGCTTATCCTTCACTATGGAACCAGCTCTAATTATAAATGTTCTGTGTGTGTGTGTGTGTGTACATTACACTGTATATATAACAGATATATTGATTGCCAATGAGATGATTCTTTTGGTTTTAGTGTATCTATTGATGTCAGCTGTGATTCTGTGGTGTTTACATGAGGTGTTTAGGTTTTACCCAGAAATCCTATATAGTTTTTTGCAGTGCCAATCAAGAGCCTAGTGCTAGGTAGCCAATGCCATGATATCAAATGACCAGCTGGATTGGCCTTTATGCTGTCCTGCTTACCCTGTTTCTGGATTTCTCTTTTCTACTGGGATACTTGAATGGTGGCTTGTTGCAGAGTAGAACCAAGATCTTCAAATAGTCCACGTAGGGGTTTTGTAGCAGCTAATGCGGGTGATTAGAGCCATATCTGTTGTGTTCCATTCAATTTAATACTGCCTTTCGTGATCATGAGTGTCTAGCACCTAAGCTCAAATGACCAGCGTCGAGACTCAGACAGGGTGAGTCCCCCCCACTCCCTTATACAGAGCATGCAGTTGCAAGTTCTAGGCAGCTTCATGGTGCTTCTTCTAAATGTGCACGTGTGTGTGTGAGAGAGAGAGAGAAAGAGAGAGAGAGAGAGAGAGATCTTCCCACACAGCAGTGAGTCCATCCCAGACCCCATGAATGATCTTCACTTGCTCAGGGGTCTTCTGCTCCCTCCCCACCCTGGCTGTCAGGCAACAGGACTCAACACATCTGCCTGGACAGGAAATCCTGCAGAGTCCTAAAGTGCAGAGTAAAAGGGAGCAGTGTGTTGTTTGAGGACCTCTGACACAGATTCTTTGCAGGGCCTGGGAATTGTTCACATTCCCCTGGACTCCTCTTCTACTCCCAACTTGGGCTCCAGAACGGGCCTGGAAATGGAGGGACAATTCTACAGGGATGGCTGACGCCTCCCTCCCCCACTTCCAAGCAGGCTTGTGGGAAATCTGCAGGTGGGAGATAAAATTTACTCTCAAGTCTGGGGAAATGATTTGATTGTGCATCCAGGAGGTGGGTTCTGCCCATTCCCCACTCATATGTGAAAGAAGCAGATGCTGCCGTTCACAATTATGCACGTACATTTGTATCCTTTCTGTTTTATTCTGGTGAGGTTTTTCTACTGTGCCTGTCATTGTGGTGTCCAGTTGCCTTCCAGTAGTGCCTTAATGGACATGACTCACATGCAGTTCTTTCCTTGTTTCTCTCTTCCTCTCCACAGGGGGAAAATTGCTTGTAGATTCTCATGTAAAGAATTTTTACTTCTTCAGTCTGTGCTCAGTTTTCTCTAGTGCAGGCCAGGTCCTTGCATTGCCCCTTGCATTTGGAATGGAAGGTGGTGAGCTTTGTGGTGGTTCAGTCTGTGTGCACCTGGACCATCCAAATCTGGGTACAGAAAAATCAGCTTAGTGGCTTAACACAGGGCTTTTAAATGTATGTCAAGTGAGCAGCATTTGAAAATCTACCCTTGTGTAATTTACAGCCTTCTTTGTAAGACCACGTCAATAAATGTGTATCCTGCCGTTGTGGGCATAGAGCTTATTAGGGAATGTACCCTCAGCCTGGCCTTTTATGTGGGATTGCAACCATCTGGGAAACGCCATGCATTCTGTACTCTTGAAAGGCTACACAAATCAAGCTGGCAGGGGCATGATGCAGCTAATTTGTCTGTAGAGACAAGATAATATTGCACAGCAAGTGACTGTTGCACAAACACCTATTAACACACATCTCATTCTGCAACAGTGTCAAAATCTCAGTCCTCTCAGCACTGCCTACGATATTCACGACTGCCAGCTCGCCAGTTTCAGGTTCACATAAAGAAATAAGAAAGCCAGGCTGATGTTGGCAGTGTGAGTATGTATGCAGAAAT